ACACCAGAGTGCCCAGCAACAACCAGAAAGGTTTTAGGTTTGTTTTGTTTTGTTTAGTTAAGAACAACAACAACCATATTATGTTTGTTTGATAATGAGAAAGAGCAAGATAGACATCCAGACAGACATACCTAAACAGGAGGGTAATAAAAGATGTAGCATCTATCCGTCGCACCCTCAAACCACCCACTCCATCCTTAAGGAAATAGACACAACATTGGTGCTAGACTAAATAAACATTATCATTGCAATTCAGCTCTTTCAACAAAATCCTAATCCTTTCCGTTTGAAAGAAATGGCGTCTAAGGTAGTGATATTACGCTTTTCACTTTCAAATGCAGAAGATGAGAGCATGATTCCTGTTATGACTTGGGTATTTTAACCCTATCCGTACATCGTGTTTTACTATTGTATCCATACGATGTGGGGAACTCTGTGCCACCACTTTCCAAAGAGGAAATATACTTGTTAATCTGATTCGTACGCTTTGCACAGCAGTTTGTCAAAATGATATTTTGAGAAATACTGAAAGTTTCAAAGAGAACTTCGTACTAGAAGTGTTCTAAAAAGTGAAGAATACAACTCCGGGGGTACAAAATGACCCCGGGGCGTACGGATACGGTTAATTGAGTCTCCCCCTCTGTTTGTCCGTTGAGTCATTGTATCCCTCTTAGAACAGGTAGACCCTGACAGGCAGAGTCAAAGCATTTCACCTCCAAAATGATCTAAACTGTGTCAATGAGTTCATAAAACAAGACTTTAGTTGGGCAATACAACAATATTTTGAGAACAAAAAAAAAATCCTTTGAAAAACGCCCTACCTACTCCATGTTCAAAAAATTTTAACCATCATGTACATACATTAAAAAAAAAAAATTATTTTGCTGGTCAAAAATAGGCTTGGCAGGAGAAATGTTGATGGCCTATGCTCCAAAGGGAGTTAAAAAGGGCAAGAGAGAGAGAGGTCAACAATAAGGTTCCGAACAAAACCATTAAAAAGAATGCAGCAAAATATTTTGTATAATAAAGAAACAATTGCATGTTCATTCTTTGTCATGGAGCTAACAAGCTGCTGGGAAGTGATGACTAATTCTATTGTGTAAACACATGAATAAGAAACTTTACCTGTGGTAGACTCTACAGCAGGCATAAATGCTTCATCTTCTTTTGATCTTTTCCTACAAATGAACAAAAACCAAAAAAAGAATGGTGTAAAAAATTAAAATAGAATGGCATTCTCATTATCATAACACAAAACAAAAATGCAAAGCAGAGGTATTTATGTCGAAATTCAAATTGAGTCTATGAAATATTTTTGTCTTAGTTTACTATGACAATAGTGAACTAGACATACAGATCTTTTCTTATATAATTCTTATCCACCAGGGTCATTAATATAGGCCACTGTTCATGATCAGAATGTTGTCATTGTTGTTGCAGTGCCTTCAAAAGACAACACAACGATAAAATGATAATGATCTGAAAGTAAGTACCAAAGAGTACTAGAGAGTAACATACAAAGAAAGGAAACAGGGGAGATAAGAACGATATAACGTTTGATAGGAAAAAAGAAGCAAATCACACAGAGTGCCCACCAACCAAATACATAATTAATAATATCGTCCTCCAGAAACTTTAAGTTTTAGTTGGAGTTTTACGGCACTTGCAACACAATTAGGTCATATTAGCGCCAGGAAGTTAGAGGTGTTACAAGAGAGTAACAAACATTAAAAAAAGAAGAAAGGGAGATAAGGACGATAGATATTTGATAGGAAAGAAGGAGCAAACCACACCAGAGCACCCGCCAACCGCCCACCAGTTCTTGAAAGGACAAACATGTGGCAGTTTAGAGTACACAGTAAAGAGAAACACATCGACACCATAACGACCACTGAACGGTAGAAAAAGGCAAGAAAGACACAACAATTGGTGAGTAAAAAGAGGCAAGACGAAGGTGGCACCCTCCAGACAGTGTGCATTTTGAGACAGTACTGCATGAAACCGTTTAACAATTTAAAAAAAGGTCACGTTGGGACACATCTCTGCTAGCTGCAAGAACCGATGACACAGACGCATAGATGGCGTTTTAAAAACTGACAACTAGTAGCCATCTCTGTACAACAAGTAAAACTGAAAAAAGAAAGAAAGAAAGAGAGAAAGAAAGATTCTAATTTCAAAAAAACACACAAAACTGGAGAAAGAAAGAAAGAAAGAAAAGAAAGAAAGAAAGAAAGATTCTAGTTTCTAAAATACATCAAACTGGAGACTGAACTGGATGACAGAAAGAAAGAAAAAAAGAAAGAAAAAAAGAAAGAAAGAAAGAAAGAAAGAAAGAAAGAAAGAAAGAAAGAAAGAAAGAAAAGAAAACAAAGAAAGAAAACAAAGAAAGAAAGAAAGAAAGAAAGAAAGAAAAAAAGAAAGAAAGAAAGATTCTAGTTTCTAAAATACATAAAACTGGAGACTGAACTGGACGACAGAAAGAAAGAAAGAAAGAAAGAAAGAAAGAAAGAAAGAAAGAAAGAAAGAAAGAAAGAAAGAAAGAAAGAAAGAAAGAAAAAGAAAGAAAGAAAAAGAAAAAAAGAAAAAAGGAACATTCTAATCTTTAAACTACGCAAAACTACAGACTTACAATTTGAAATTGAGAACAGCACCCGCGTTGACCAGCAACGTCCTGCAAAATAATAGGACAATTAAAAAAAGATTACTTGGCGTGAATAAAACAAAAAGCATAGATCTAAACCTACAAACAAGTAAAAATCCGATCTGAATGCCTACTACCATTTACCAGTAATGGCC